TGTTGTCTGGACTGAGTTCATGCATGAATATTATTGATTTGATTGAATGTTATGACATGTCTTGAGTTCAAGACTAGTTCATTAAATATGCAAGTTGGTTGGAATTCGTTCGCCGAGTCATGAAGTGAAGTGCTTAAAGGATAATCAAATGGTACTAAAGAAGTCTAAGCATTGTGTGATACGGTGGGAGAACTGACTTGAGGTTTTGCGTTTGTGTTCGCAAATGTTTTGGTTTAGCAAGAGTCGCCACCGACTTTTTATTTATCCTAAGGAAAGGTTAAAAAGCACAGGAAAAACCTTTGAGATGTTTTCTTGGGTTCGGGGAGTAGATTATAAAAAGGGAAGGTATTAGCACCCTTTCTATCCATGGTTACCCATGGGCTCTTAGTTACTTGCTTATATCACTTGTCTTTGCTTTTCAATTGTTTGAAATGGTGCTTTGTGTGTGGTTTTGAAAATGTTTTGAAAAAGATGCCTTGTCTAGGCAACCATTGTAACAATTATTGTTTGAATGTTTTACAAGGGTGTTTGTCTTTTTGAAAAGATGTTTCAATGTTTCGTTTTGAAGTTGTGTTGTGATGTGTGTTTTAAAAAATGGCAAGGATTGTTTTGCAAGTTTGGTCAAGTAACCAAGAGCTATCTACCTTAAATTTCTCAAAGATCTTTCTTATGTTTTAACCCTTTTAACAGTGTTGTTTCACCATTGTATTTGGTGAACAACCTTGTGTTAGGATGTTAACAGGACGGGCGCGTGTCATCGTTTAGACCATGGATGCAATAGTGTCAAGTGTCTTTGGCAATTTTCTTGAGGGACTATGATCATTTTGTTTAGGCAACAATAGCGTCATCGAGGGACTATGATCATTTTGATTGTTTTTTGTTTTGTTTTGTTTTGCCAAAGTACTTGACATGCAAACATGGCCCATTTTTTAAGGCAACAAGTGGAGTAACCCTAGGGGTGCAAGTGTGCATTGTGTTGTTTTTCATGCATGTTTATCTTGAATTAGGTCAAGCTACTTGTTAATTTGATTTTGCATACACACCCTAATTCCCTAATCATGGTATAATTGAAAGCTTTTAAATGCGGAAATTTAAATGCTAAGCTATTACAACAATGATTATGGGGATGGGGGTACAAGTTTGAATTTGGGGATATTTGACAAGAAATTAAATTCTAAGCTATTACATCCATATTGAATATACAAGACAAATATTTAATATTTAAATTAGTACAAATAAATAAATATCAAATAAAAATGCATTATGCTAAAAAAGAGATTTTTTCATGTATGTAAAAGTATTTTTCAATGTGAAATATAAACAAAAATAAAAAGGTCAAATTTGAATATCTTTGTGGTTTTAGGGTTAAACCCTAGTTTTTGAATAAATGTTATTATTTATTGATTATGTACAATATATATTAAAAAATAAAAAATATATTGTAAAAAAAAGTATTTTTAGTGTCATGTATTAATAAAAATAAAAATGTATTATTTCTATATTTTTATCCTAAGTATTCTAATAAATATAATATACAAGTATTTATATATATATATTTACTAATCCTATTAAATATAAAAAGATAAAATTAATTATTTATGTACATGAAAAAAGAGTATATTTAAGAAAATATTTTCAAGGTGTAAATACAAATAATAACTGAAAATAAATATAATTTTTGTATTATTTTTTTTAGGGTTTTAGTAAAAAGTATATATATTTATTTACATACATATGTTAAATAAAACAAATAAATGCCAAATAAATGCAAAAAAAAAGTGTAAAAATATTTTTAATGTTTTTTATGTTTGGACAAAAAAAAATATCAAGTCAGAATAAAAAATAAAAAGTCAAAAATGATAAATATTTCACACAATGGGCCAGGGGGTGCAAATGGAAAAAAAAGGGTGTGAACAGCAAGTTGACTCAGGCCCATCCCAAGCCAACTTTGTCTTCAACCTCCAGCAACCTGTTTGAAACAAAAACGCGCGCTTCTTTGATCCAACACCAACTCCTGATTCCTTGACTTTTAGCAAAAACTCATAACACAAATAATGTAGAGCATCAAGTCACGATTCCAAATATGTAAAAAACTTAACCTAACTCTAAGAAACCAGGGAGAATTTCTTCACCATCAATTTCTGACCTAATTTTTCTTCAAAGTTCATGGCTAAAATTCTCACAGCACGCTTAACATAAATGAAAAGTAATCATATGTATGGCTTCAGGGCTATGAGTAGAGCATGTTTCATTCACAAACCTAAGCCTAACTCTTCCTAGATTAAGAGATAGAAGTCCATGGTTTTACCTGTTTCAGCTTGACTTGAACAGAGCAATGTAGCAACCTTCAATGGAGTTTGAGCTTTGGTTGAGCTTGCCTGAAGTCCAAGAATGCTTCCCTAATGCCTAGCTTGCTTTGAAACCAACTGTATCGTGCTATGGAATTCCACCTGCACAGCTTGAAAGTAAAAATGGCAAACATGGTTAGGGTTGTTACAGGTTGAGTTCAAGGTTTGGGATAGTCTCAGTGGATCATATGGAAGGTGTTTGAAAGGTTTTTAGCCAAAGTGCACGAGTGGATTGAGTTATGGACCTCAATCTGCAGCAGGTACCCTGTTTTGAAGCAAAACTGTGATTTGGTGAATGGGAAGGTATGAGGGATGGAAGGGTCGTGCCTTAGGTCAGTTTTGATGTATGGAATATGAGAACAAAGTTTGCTCCAGCTCTAGTTTGCAGGAAGTGAGAGTTGTGTATATTTTGCAAACTTGCTTGTTTTTGAAGTAAGAAGGTTAAAGTTGCAATGCAGGCCTGTGTACCCTCTCTATCTATGCTGCACAATTTTCTCTTGATAAATGGGATATGTGGATTTGATTTGGCTCCAAGATCTGGCACCATGCCTCCAAGATTTGGAACTTGACATAAAGTGTCACTTTTCTAAAATGGCAAATTAGCTCTTTCCAAATAAGGATTAATTCTATGTGTAATGCCCAAATGGATGAAATAATGAATTAGCTCAGTGTATTTGCATTCAATTAAGGAGTGTAAAAGGGTTTAGAGGCTTGCAAGCTATCATAAACCAAGTTGACTTGAAAATGCAACTGTTATGAACAAGCTTTGGCCATGAACAAAAGTGAATTTTGCCCAACTTTGTGAATTCGATTCTCTCTAACCACAAGGGTGTTTGAGAAGTTCTTGGACAAATTGCAAAGCTTGAAATGCTTACTACAATCCATCTTTGCAATGCAAATTGAAAATCCAAGTGGAACCATGTGAAAAATGGCCAAGAAGTTGGACAAAAATCCTGCCTAGAATTGGGCAAAATTTCTCTAAGTTAAAAATGTTTTGCATCCTTGTTCCAAAAATCATAACTTGAGATACAAGCTTCCTTTGAGAAAACTTTGTGAATCAAAGTTGTATATTTTGCAACGGACTACAACTTTCATGTTTCAAGTTTTGTTTGAATCCATTTGCATCTTGGTGAAAAAATGGGACAAAGTTAGGAAAAAATAAGGAAGTTTCATAACTTAGAAAAATTCTAAGTTATGGAATTTTCTCATTTTAAATCCTAATTTGCAATTTTGGGTTTCTTGATGAACAAGTTTCATAATTTGACGTGTCTTGATGAAAAATGAATCTTGGCACTTGATTTTGACCAAAAAGTCAAAGTTTGACTTTTCAGTATACAGTCAAATTTTGATCAATTGACTGAAAAATTCATCTTTCAATCCTATGCATTTGAGATCTTTTGAACTTGTTGAATGGGTCAAGACAATGCCATTGATTCCTTGAGTCCATGTGTGAGCTTGGTTTGCCATTGGTTAGGTCAAACAGTCAAAAATTGCCTTTGTGCAGTAAAAACCCTAAAAATGACCATTTTGCCCTTTTGGTGATCTGATCAAATTTCTTGTGGAGTTGTGATCCAAACTTGATCAAATGATTCATATGAGTTAATAATGTTGATGTGGGTCAAAAATCATGAGGTTTGACTATCAATTGGCCATAGTTGACTTTTCCCCCAATACAGTTGATTTCTAGGTCAACTGTCCAATTGACTGGGCAAAGATTGGAATCAAGGCTTGAAACTTGGTATGGATAAACTTGTAAGTCCAACATGAAGCATGAAAGTCACTTTGGGAATTTTAGGTCAAAACATCCCTGTGCAAACTCAAACCCTAATTTGGGTCAACAGTACAATGAGGGGCCTTGAGCAGAGCAAACCCTAACTTGATCTTGAGTTCCAAGAGTCTTGTGATGAGAAAATGTTGATGAAATGAGAGGGAAAATTTTGGGGTACAACACATTGGCTTATTTTCGAGAATTCGATTTAAGCGAGTTTTGAGACCTTAATCATAAGGGTTTCTTGGAATGCAAAAAGACGAGATACAAATGACAAGGCATAGTCATTCATTATAATTCCATTCAAGTGGTTATTTTGATTCAAGTTGTTATTTCCAATATTATTCCACATCATTGTTCATCCCAAGGGCTCATATGTGTTACGAATTCCATTGGCAAATAATCAAAAAGCATAACTCAAAGTATCGGTTTATGACTCCCTTATGGCCGATTCAAGCATGTAGATTGGAAAGCCCATTTATATGGATGTGTTCTACTAGAAAGACAATCAAGTGGATCAATATTTTTGCAAGATGTATCCATAATGCAAAATCTCATTCAAGATTGAATTCAGTCGAGGTAAGCCAAGGAATTTTGGAAATAAAAGGCTAAGAAATTTTTGGCCGCATTGATATGGCCATATTGCAAAGTTTGTATTTAATGATTGAGTCATGTCTACATAGCATTATGTTTATCTTGGTTAAAGGTTCGAGTTTCGACTATTCAAAAACCATTACAAAGATTTCAATAGCCATTACAAGTTATGTCCAAATATCCATTCAAACTTCAAGGTTCACATTTAAAGTTCATAAAGATGGCATACAAAGTACAATAGCATCATTACAAAAAAAAATTACATAGAACATTTTCATCCAAAAGTTACTTCATGCGAAACTCCAAATTCTAGCGAAAGGCTTCGAGCATATGATGTATAAGGCTATAAATTTGTTGCTACTATGCTGAGCCATCAAACCAATATGTGCAGCCCATTGGCATCTGCGGTACACAAGTTGTTGTAGGCATACCTGCAAACATCAAATTTATTCATTAAATTTGGATTCCCAAACCTGCACATTCACACAAAAAAAAACCAAGTAAATACAAGCAATCGTGCCAAAAATAGGTCCACATCATTCAACTAACTGCAATTGAAAGAAAAATCAGAAAAGGGGAAGGGGAAACCTAGTGTACCTATGGGGAATTTGGAATTCGATGATGGTTTGAATGAGGAAGCTGGTGCCCTTAGTTTACAGCTTGCATGACATGATTCACTGGTGGTGGAAATGGAGATTGCAAGCTGGGATGGTGTGAATGAAAAGCAAAGTAGCTGGAGGTGCTTCGAATCGAGCTGTTTGTCAGGTTAAAGACTGTGGTGCAGATCTGAGCAGAGATAAGGATTATCACAGATGTCATAAAGTTTGTAAGATGCATTCTAAGGCTACTAGGGCACTTGTGGGGAATGCAATGTAGAGGTTTTGTCAACAGTGTAGTAGGTTTCAGTTACTTCAAGAGTTTGATGAAGGAAAGCGAAGCTCTCGGAGACGCTTGGCTGGCCATAATAAACGGAAAAGAAAAAAACCAAAATAATTAAGTAAATAACTTTCAATTTCATTCAAATCTGAGGTCAGCCCATCTAGTATAACTAACTGTTATCAAAGATTCCACTGGTAGTTACCAATAGAAAACAATTTCCTAATTGTCAAACCAAGTTTTTCATAACAGCCCTGCAATAAAACAGTGTACTAATCCAACAGAATACCCAACCTCATAACAACCTCCTAACAGAATTCCTAACAGTTTCTAACTACCTAACCAACTCCCATCTCTTCTAACCAACTCCACAGAAAATCTATATAACAGGGGGATTGACTCTTAGATCCACAATTTTTTTTATTCACCAAGAAAAGACAATCAGGATTCACACAGAAGAAAAAGGCAGGAGTTCTTACTCTCCTCTGCAACTTCAAATTCTCCCTGCACAATCATCATCTCTAGAATGCCCCTTCAATCTTTTACTTCATCAACAACACAACATCACACAACGCTCTGAATAAGAACAGATTGCGCGTATCAGAATCACACATCAACGCAACGAAAACTCAGAAATCGCAAAAGCAAAAAAAATAAAAAGAGAGAACAGAAAAGGAAAAATTCAGAACAGAATGGCTCACCTCTTTTAGATTCATTCTTCATTCTCCCTCAGAAAAAAGATACACCTTCAATTTCCCTTCAACCCTCTCTGAAACTCCCTTCAATTTTCTCTCTGCAAAACTTTACACCGCATCCATCTTCATCATCATCTCTTCACTTTGACTGAATATTCATCACCGCTACAAATTTTGCTCAGCCTTCTGTTTCACCTCTACTGCAACCTTGTCAACTATTTCACACGACTATCCTCCTCAATTCAATCCTTCAGCATCTGCAACAACAAAAATGTGCCATTGTTTCAAACATAACACACAACGACATAGAACATCACAGAAGCGCATATTATTCGCAGAAGGAATTTTAATTGGAAGATAAGGTATAAAAGGAAGAAGGAGCGAATATACCTGAATATTCTCGGTGGTCTCAATGTTTCTCTCGGTTTCAAGAATTGCTGATGGTATACTGGTTAGTAAGCCACGATTCTTCATTTCTTTATATTTCTCTTTGTGAGCATGTAGAAGACGATATAATCAAGATATTAAGCTACAATCCGACATCTAAATCCATCTCTAAAGATGAGAATTTCGAAGTTCTTTGTTGATATGTGGAACAATTTGAGGTGGTGATGAATCCACGGAGGAGAGAAGGTGGAGACCTAATCGCATGAAGACAAAGGATTCACGGCACCGCGGTGTCGGAGGAGTGAATAAGATGGAGAGAATTGGGAAACGCCACTACTCGGTTAGGAAGGGATAATCTCACAAAGAAGTTGAAAAGCCACAAATCATGTAACCCTAATCCCTCTTCCTATTTATTTATTTCCCTTTAGTTTTAATTTTTTATTCAGTATGTTAGCATGTTAGGAGATAATAGAAAAAACCTATAAAAATGATGTTGAAATTTGTAATAAAGAAAGATGAATGATGTGTTGTTGGACCAAAACCCCCTCCTTTCCAAGCCCGAGAGTTGTTTTTCTGGAATCTAGAATTTTCTTTACTAATAGGCTTTGCTCTTGGACTTTGGATATTGGGCTTAACGCCCTAGCCCTTGTAATAATCACCATTCTTCCAAGACTATGCCACTGTTTTTTTTTTTTTGGTTTCATGCTAGAGGCTTGACGAAAACAGCTCTTGGACTTAATTTGATGGGCCTAGCGCCCTGCTTCATCACACCACCTGGTTTCAATTTTCACCCCCTGAGTTCCTCTATGATTTTTCTTTTAATTGTAGAATATAATAGAAGTTTTTTTTTATAAATTAATTCTTTAGTTTTTTTTAGAATTTTCCTCATGTAAAAAATAATAAAAAATACTTTTTTTTCTTTTAGGTTTTATCCATACTTTTCACATCGCTTCGCCATGTTATTGTTAACGCGTTTTTTCATTGTGCAAGGTACTTTTCTTATGCTCTCGATCGTGTAACATAACAGGTAGTTATGTGATCGAAGCATACGGCTTATGATCGCTTGCGATGCGACACGCCTTATTTCTCATCGTCCTGAGAAATTCATATCGTATTATATGTTATCCTGATACATATGATATTTTGCACCAGAATTTATGATTACGTGCCACATTCACAACATGCGTTTGCCTTTATCTTAGTTGGATAGTGCTTCTGACTCTGTTTGTTTCTTGGTGAAGCTTGCTCGACGCGTACTCCCTACTTTTTCAGCGCTTTTGTCTGCTCTTGACGACTTGCTCACTTTGGTGGCCTCCGCTACTACCCTTGCACCTCATTTCGCACTTTAGTGCATTTCTTTACTGCTTGCTAATATTAGATAGAATTCCCTCGAGAAACCGAATCTTATGACCACCAACGCATGATAAAATTAGTTTTAGAAATAGGCTAGTCTTCATGTGACTTTCTTTCCCCCTTTTTCATATGCATCTAAAACAAAAACTTCTTTTTTTTACAAACTTCAAAATACTAAAAATTTTCTGACGAGAATCATATCTTTGTTAAGTATGCAAGACGATAAGCGGGTTTCTTCTCGACCTTATTGTTCTCTTATTATAAGCCTTGGTATGGTTCAAGTCTCAAAGACTCATTTCACAAATAAGTAGATACATGGCTAAAATCTCTCCCTTGAGATTAACTAGCTATTATCCATAAGCGAAAATATCGACCAATACAAACTCTTTTTGCCTTCGGGCCTTCCTTGCAAAATTCTTTTTAAAAAGAACATGTTGATTCACTTCTGTGCTGACGCGTAAATCTCCAAAGGTCGAGTTGCGGCAGAAGGCGAAATTAATATCGTTCATTTCAAATACAACCAAATTCAAACTTTGGTGCGCCCAGGCACATTTTCTTCAAACCTTTTCAAGAGAGCATGTTAATTCACTTCTGTGCCGACGCGTAAATCTCCAAAGGTCGAGTTGCGGCAGAAGGCGAAATTAATGTTGTTCAATAAAAAATACAAATAAAAAAAAAAACATATAAGCCGAACTACGACTGCTCTGATTCCTTAAAAGGGATACGTAGGCATCGGGGTAGGGCCCGAACGAGCACAACTTTTATTTTCCCTACATTTTCCCCTTTCTTTTGCATGCATTTTCCATTTAGCAGTAATAAACAGTAAGCATAGATTAAACACGCCCATAAGATAGACAACAAAAGTGGATACCGTAGAGTACTACGGGCGTGTGGGGTGCTAATACCTTCCCCTCGCGTAACAGACTCCCTTACCCTTATCTCTTGGTCGTTCGACCTCGATTTCACCCTTTTCAGGTTTTCTCGATGTTTACCTTTCCCTACCCGTGGGATAAAAGACGTTCGATGGTGACTTCATTGTTTGATGATTTTCAGTCGGTTGTTTCAGCTGGCGACTTCACTGGGGAAAGGTCGACCAAATGCTGGTCCATCCCGGAGTCGCTCCTAGCTCTTGCTTTCTTTTCTTTGGGTGTTTTTATGCTTTCAGTTTACTTATTTGTACATGTTTATCTGAGCATAAGTTTGCATTGCATTTTATTGCTTTTCCTATTTGTCATCTATTATGCTGGACTCTGTTTTCCATGTTGGGTGGGGATGTTACTATTGAGGTAAAAGGCCCAGTACCCAGGCCAGAGTGCACTAGGACACTAGGAATAGAGTGGGGGCATGACGGCTATAGGATGTGGTCCGATTAGTGCAGTCATGTCATATACCATGCTCGGATGAGGTTCAAATGAATTACTATCGGCAACCACGTCTGTGGGTAAGCCCATAACACTTTCAGGCGGACCTGTGATTTTTGAGTTACCATTGTCTTACCCTGACCTAGTCTTCACCCATGAGTGGAGAGGTAATTTTATCACAGGTACAGTTGGTGACTATGTCCAAATGGTTACTCATGCTCAGATGGAGACTGTGATCATACAATGACTATTGGTTCTAATGGATATGTTCTGGATTTCCGTCGGCGACTTATGCATATGGTATTTTGTTGGTGACTGTATGGTTTTCAGATTTATTTTCTGAACTCCTGACTTGCTTACTTGGAAGTTCATCCGAGCCTTTGATCTTGGCATTCCCAGCATATTCATAAAATGCTCAACAATATCCTATGTTCCAGAAGCCTTGATCCCGCACAATTATTTATCTACATAGTACTTGGTTCTTATATGCAGAAGTTGTGCCAGACCTCTAATCTGGTGATACTCATATGGTTCAGAACAGTGCAACAATCATATTCGAAAATGATGGAACCTTGATCCTCTTTGATCTCATGCCTTTGCATACATAACATGGCTAACCACATGCTTAAAATACATGTCTTGTGATTTCCAAGGAGTCGTATTTGTAAGCCGTGTGCCACACTTTTCCATATTTTACTTACGTAAAATTAAAATCAAAGCACGTAAATTCCTTGGAAATGACGGAACATGACATTGTATCCATTCATGCACCCCATGTATATTCATCCATAACAGATATTCAAAGATTTGTGGATTCTTATTCAGACATGGTTCTCCTCAGAGGTTTAGCTTTGATTTCTTACTGCACTTGTTCAATGATCGGTTATGGAATAACTCCGGGTATACATGCAAGCTTTGGCCCGTGGTCAGAAATCTCTTCAAGAAGGAAGATAATTGATTGAAAACTCAGATGAGCCAGGTCATGAAAGCTCTGATGACAATGTCAACAATATTGCACCTACTATCACATTAAAGGTTCTCTCTTCTCCTCCTCTTTTGGGAATTGCTTCCAACCATGAGTGCTACGCAATCCTGAGTTCTTGAAACATCTCATCAGCATATGGTTCCCATTTACTGTAGGATCTTATATCAGTGCTTCATTCTTGTTAACCAACATCAGATGTGGTTTCCACATTGGGGCATCCGACTTTTCAATCAGGGGCATCCTCCATAACTTTGTGTTCCCTAAATTGTTCAACAAGAGCCAGTCCTTATTCTCCAACTGGATTCATGGGGAAAATCTTTTAAGCAAAGACAGAAGAATCCTGATGAGCATGTTGATACGAGCCCAATGCATTACATCCTATTATTACCAGCTCTTCCTAGCTCTGATTTTTGGGGTCCTCCTCCCACAAGCGTCTCTTCTGATTACAATATGTATGCTAGATGCATCCCCTATTCTGGGGTACCCGGTTTTGATATTGAAGACTACAAAGGGGTTGAAATATAAAGCCAAGCACCTGTTTGGCATCTCTTCCAAAGGTCCAATTCCTTTTTGGCCAATTGCTACATTCTTTATCACCATGTGGATGTCTCTTTTTGTTTTGATAGAAGACATACTATATTAATCTTTGTGGCGTAGTATGCCTGATGATGCAGTTTTCACTTTTTAAAAAAAGCATTCATTTGTCCTCCTGAAAGAATCTTCTATGCATATTATTCTGGGAAGATGGTACGTCATCTAGAGACAAAGTCCAAGTCAAGATCAATCCGGAGATTGTGGTGTCCAAATCATATCAGAAGGAGAATTTTCTTTCCCACTGGATATGCAAGCAATGGCCTGTAGTCAGAAATCCTTAAGGAGAAAGGATAACTAGTTGAATACTCGTTTGAGTCGGGTATGGAATTTATGAAGGCAGTGTCGGCAAAGAAAAGTGATCTTGTATACGTCGTTGCAACAAGAGCTGTCATTCATCCCCAACCTATGGGACTTTTTTCAAAACATGAGATACTTTGTGGGTCTCACCCAGAACTTTGTGTTCTCTGATTTTCTTGCTAGCAACTAGTTTCTGGTCTCCAAGTGAACCCATGGGGTAGAACTTACCAGCAGAGACAGAAAAAGCTTAAGAAGCAGATTAATACAATCTCAATGCCTTGTATCCAGTTACTTCCTCGTATGTTAGAAGCTCAGTGGTTTAAGCTTCGTGCTTTGGGTCATCCTCCAACAAATTTCTCTCCTGATTTCGATACAAATGCTAGATGTGTCTCCCACTCTGGAGCACTTAGTTAGGATATTGAATACTGCAAGGGGTTGAAGTATGAAGTTTGGTACTTGTTTGGATTCTTTTCCATGGTTCAGTCCATGTTTGGGAA